TCCTCCATTCTTCAATCGTCGATAACTCTTCTTGCTTCCATTTTTGGGCCAATAATATTCTTGCTGCTGTTATTGCATATAAAAAGAGCTTACATTCCTTTCTATTTTTGTCACTCCCCGCAATGCCCAATAAAAATGCTTCTGGTTTCTTTATAAATGTATATTTCAACATTTTTTTCACATTCACTGCCATCTCATCCCTTCCTGCTTTTGAAATTCCACAGGCCGTTCTCTGCTGAATGCAAGCGCTCAGTGCAAATATGAGGTGGGATTTAGTTGAGGGAAAGGGCAGTTTCTTCCTTGTGGAAACCGAAAAGCAAAGTTATGAGCCAAACTGTGACATGTAAAGCTGAGTGAGCTCTCCTTCTTGGGGGGTCCTTGTTCACTTCTCAGGTCTTTTACAGGTTTCTGCAGTGGAGTCACTGTGACGCAGAAGGAACCGTTCAAATTTGCCCGGAAGGGGACCAAAGCAAGTATGGAGTGTTCCCACGATGACAGCACCTACACAACTATCCTTTGGTATCGGCAGGAGAGCAACCATGCAGACAAGCGGCTGGAGCTCATTGGCTACTCTGTACATGGATCTGTGTCTATGGAGCCAAATATGGAGAAATACAGTATAGAATCAACAAATGTGACACATGCTTCCCTGTCCATCACTCCGGAACAAACTACAGATTCAGCCGTGTATTTTGCGCAGCCAGTAAGGCACAGCAAGAACTTTCTGCCTCACAGCTGCACATAAACACTGCAGCTCTGCCAACACTCCCCTTCCTGCCCTCTATACCACACACACACACACACACACACACACACACACAGACACACCCCAGTCACTTACAGAGTCCTGTTTCATAAGACAATGAGAAACAGCAGCACTATCTGCCACTGTGGGCTTACGGACCCTCCACATGTGCCTATTTTCCAGGCACAGTCCTAAATTTACAGAAGCTGTCCTGTTTCTGATTTGATCCCGAAATGTCCCACTTTTCCTTAAGGTAAAGTAAGGGACCCCTGACTATTAGGTCCAGTCGTGACCGACTCTGGGGTTGCGGCGCTCATCTAGCTCTATAGGCCGAGGGAGCCGGCGTACAGCTTCCAGGTCATGTGGCCAGCATGACTAAGCCGCTTCTGGTGAACCAGAGCAGTGCACAGAAACACCGTTTACCTTCCCGCTGGAGCGGTACCTATTTATCTACTTGCACTTTGATGTTCTTTCAACTGCTAGGTTGGCAGGAGCAGGGACTGAGCAATGGGAGCTCACCCCGTCGCGGGGATTCGAACCGCCGACCTTCTGATCGGCAAGTCCTAGGCTCTGTGCCTTAACCCACAGCGCCACCCGTCTCCCTTAACTTTTCCTTAGGATGCCCCTATTTTCATCGGAGAAATGTTGGAGGGTATGGGCTTATGGCCAGCAGCATTATTTATGATTTTCAATTGCATACATTTCAATAATTTTACAATCATTTGAACATTTCAAAACTTGACTTCCTTCCTCCTCTTTCTGTGGTTCCTTAAAATTATTTTAAATATTTTCTGCATATCAAAATTAATTTGCTCATTTATTCATCTGCTTTAAATGTATACTCTTATAACACTGCAGGTTATTACAATAATCCTGCCAATGTTCTTATCTGTTTAAAATTTATTTGTAAATATTCAATAAACCATTTCCATTCTTTTATAAAAAGTTTGTTATCTTGATTTCTTATTTTTCCGGTAAGTTTCGCCATTTCTGCATATCCCATAAGTTTTTGTATCCATTCTCCTTTCGCTGGGACTTCTGCTTCGTTCCATTTTGGGGCAAGTAACATTCTTGCCACTGTAGTTAAACACATTAATAAATTTCTATACAGTTTGGGTAGTTCTGTCCCTATAATCCCCAAAAGCAAGACTTCTGTTTCTTTTACATACGTTCTTTTAAACATCTTTTTCAATTCATTATATATCATTTCCCAGTAAGCTGGCTGACACGGTGTCTTTAGAAAGCATTCCAACAGTTATGTACTGAAGTTCTCACCCTGGGCCAGCAGGGGGATACTGTAGATAGTTATGCAAATGAAGGATCGAAAGTGACGTTCAGTGATTGGATGGATACTATAGATAGTTATGCAGATGAAGGATCGAAAGTGACGTTCAGTGATTGGATGGATACTATAGATAGTTATGCAGATGAAGGATCGAAAGTGACGTTAAGTGATTGGATAGTTTTAGAAAGTTGTTACAGTAACGTGGTACTGGAGCTCTATATAAGCAGGCTGACTGAGCCCTTCAGTTCAGTTCTGTCCTGGCCTGTGAATAAACAAGAGCTGTTTGAAGAATTGCTGTGTCGTCTGATATGTTCACCCACAACTTAACACCAACCCCCCCATCTCCCAGAACCTGGCAAGCCTTAAAAGTAGGAGAGCAAAGAGCTCAAAGACAGAGGGCACATAGCAGCACCCGTAGAGGAGATGATGAGCATGATGAATGAGGAAGTGGGAGAGACAGGGGGGTGGAGATTCACTCAGGACAACGCCATTATCCAAGAGGCTGGATTCTATAGCCTCTCTCTGTAAAGATTGAAATAAAAAAGGACGGTAATAAACTTTCCCTTGTCTTTATACTTTCCTGGGTAACTAGCTGGGAGCCACTGACAGCATCCTGACAGTTATTTGCATATCTTGCATAGAAATCTTTTCTTTTCTTTGACCCAAATCTACAGCCAATACATTCCACCAGGCCCTTGAGTTTTAGAGTTAAGGAGAGAGGGATTTCTGTCTCTCCACACGACTCTTATATATCTTATCTTGTAACAACTACATAAAATGCAAATAACCCTCATGTTGTTGTTTAGTCGTTTAGTCGTGTCCGACTCTTCGTGACCCCCTGGACCCCTTCGTGACCCCCTGGACCAGAGCACACCAGGCACTGCCTCCCGTAGTTTGGTCAAACTCATGCTGGTAGCTTCGAGAACAGTATCCAACCATCTCGTCCTCTGTCGTCCCCTTCTCCTCGTGCCCTCCATCTTTCCCAACATCAGGGCCTTTCCTGGGACTCTTCTCTTCTCATGAGGTGGCCAAAGTATTGGAGCCTCAGCTTCACGATCTGTCCTTCCAGTGAGCACTCAGGGCTGATTTCCTTCAGAATGGATAGATTTGATCTTCTTGCAGTCCATGGGACTCTCAAGGGTCTCCTCCAGCACCATAATTCAAAAGCATCAATTATTCGGCGATCAGCCTTCTTTATAGTCCAGCTCTCACTTCCATACATCACTACTGGGAAAACCATAGCTTTAGGCTAGCCTAAAAGGAAAGGTGATTGTTTTGGTTTCCCCATTCCTGGACTACAGCGTCCTTTTTGAGATGGGGTGAGACTATCTTGTAGGTGGAGCTTCCTTCAGCTGCTCAGAGACAACCCAAATTTCTAGACCCAAGTCTGTGATTAAACGTCTCTGCTAGTCATCACTGGGTGAGGGTGTGTGAGAGAGGAATATCTTAATACCTCTGCACAAATTTAAGAGTCTCATTCTGCACAAAACATGTTAACAACCCCAGTTTGGGTTGCACAGAGAGGACTACTGAACTCCTGTTTCTAAGAGAGCTTTGTTGTGTTCATATAGACAGAACCAGACTGTTGGTGCCAAGGAAGGAAGCCGATATAATACAGTCACATAAAAGCCACATTCGACACTTGCAAAGAGCTCAGAGATGTGGATCATCTGGTGTGTGGCTATGTGCTTCTTAAAATTCAGTAAGTCCTTTGTCAGAATCTCCTTCTCTGCTTTACAGGCGGCTTTTAATATTCTAATCCAAGACCCAGGTTTAAATTTCCGCTTTCCTCTTTCTCTTTCAGGATTCTCAAATGCTGAGATCACCCAGCCATGGAGCCTGGTGCTGCAGGAAGACAAAACTGCACGGATCGAGTGCGAACAAAAATATCAGCACAACGTCATGTTCTGGTACCGTCAGGGTGCCGAGCCAGGTCTACAGCTCCTCTTTCACTACTATTATGCCCAGCAACAGCCTGCAGGCAATGTTTCTGACCGGTTCACAGCTGATATGCCCAGCACAGATCGCTTGATCCTGAATATTTCCCCTGCAAAGCCAGAAGATTCAGCTGTGTATTTCTGTGCAAGCAGCAGAGACACAGCAGTTCAAAGTAACCTCTCCTTCCTACAAAATCCTCTGTGTGTCCTCATCACTCTGCCTGCGTGGGCAACTGTGCTTGAGTGGTACGGATCCATTTACCATGAAATATACTCGGAGTCGAGAGTGGATTTCATGCTCTTTATTCAGCTCTTAGTGGTGAGGAGGAGTGGAAGTTCCCCCACAATATCTGCTTTATATACATTATTTACACAATGGGCTGCACGTGATTGGCTAACTCCGGGATTTTCCTGTAGGCCAATCAGGTTGTGGATTCACTTCCACCTGGAGCTGGATTGGGTGGCTCCTGCGGACCAATCATACTGCTTCATTGTTCTAGGACCAATCAGACTGCTGCATTCTGAATCCTATTGTTCTAGGACCAATCAGACTGCTGCATTTTGGATCCTATTGTTCTAGGACCAATCAGACTGCTGCATTTTGGATCCTATTCAACTCAGTACATAACAACGATGTATGGACCAATGTGAGATTCCAGTTCCTCTGCAGGGCTTCTGGCAATGGGAAACTCTCAGGAAAAGCACGTGCTCCAGAATCCTCTAAGGAGTTGGGATTTGGGACATTATAAACATTATAAAACAGTGTTCAGGGCCAGGCAGGTTTGCTGGCTGACCTGGCAGCTTCAGGCTGCAACATTTGCATTTTCTATTATTGGAAATAGCATGTCTTTATCACTTTTCCATATGATAAAATGCTCAAATTATCCCGAGATCCTGGGAAGTGAAAAGCTGCCGTGATGACCTCGGGAGGTGGGCGTTCAGCCAGACAAAGCCTGCTAACAGCTATTTAGGACATGAAACCTCCAGCAATTTTCTACTCTGAGCAGGTAGAGTGATCATTGGCAGAGACACCATGAAGTTCCTCTTGATCCTTACCTGTCTGGGAGTAGCGGGTGGGTCCTTTGATGCTGCTTCATCTTTCTCTCCTTGGAACTTAGGACAACTAAAAAAATTTAATGAATTTTCTATCATAGGCTCCACTGGAGACAGCAAACGCCATCCAGAAGTTGTATTTGTCAACCTGCTAGGATAACGCAGTTGTGAGCAGTGGTAGGGATAGCATACGAACACATGGAGCAAGCTGTCTGTAGTGCCTTAAGCCCAGTACATATTTTCCTAGCAAAAGAGGGGCCAGAACTCTCCATGAACTTCTCCTTTGTTTTCTTAGAATGGCAATGAAGTGCATCTGAAAGGTGCTGGAACTGAGTTCTGGCGATTTCTGGCTGAAAAAAAGGCCCAGCTTTAGACTGTTCTTGGGTTGGTTTGCTTGCTTGCTTGCTTATTTGTTTGTTTGTTTGTTTGCACTAAGATACAGGTCTTCATATGGGACGCGGGTGGTGCTGTGGGTTAAACTACAGAGCCTAGGGCTTGCTGATCAGAAGGTCGGCGGTTCGAATCCCCGCGACGGAGTGAGCTCCCATTGCTCGGTCCCTGCTCCTGCCAACCTAGCAGTTCAAAAGCACATCAAAGTGCAAGTAGATAAATAGGTACAGCTCCAGTGGGAAGGTAAACAGCGTTTCCATATGCTGCTCTGGTTCGGCAGAAGCGGCTTAGTCATGCTGGCCACATGACCCGGAACCTGTACGCCGGCTCCCCCGGCCAATAAAGCGAGATGAGCGCCGCAACCCCAGAGTGGGCCACGACTGGACCTAATGGTCAGGGGTCCCTTTACCTTTTACCTTTACAGGTCTTTATGATCAGGGCCAGACCAACCATGAGGCAAGGTGAGGCAATTGCCTCAGGCAGCAGCATCCACGGGGCAGCAGATCTAGTCTCCAGGGTGTGACCTGCTCCTTGAAGACCACATCTGCTGCCTCCTCGGCAGCCCCATACCCAACGCCACCTCTGCAGAGGCCTTTTGGCAATAGGAGGCACTGCTGGTTTCCTCCCACCCTTGTTCCCAAAGAAGATTTTTTGCCCCCACCCCTTGTTCCTGATGTAGATTTTCACTCACCCCTTCTTCCCTAGCCCAGGGTGCGGTGAGGAGCCATTTTGTGGTTCACCTCAGCTGCCAGAATATCTTGGGCCAGCACTATTCATAGTAAAGCTATTTACGACAGGCAGCTAGAGTCACCATATTGCCACTGTTTTGCAAAGACCTCCACCTTGCTCGTTCCCTGGTTCGCTGCATGATTTGGCAAGGCACTGCCTTAGCCAAACCTAACCTCAACAGGGTTGTGTTTCAAAGAAAACTGTGGCACTAACTTCAGTACTCGGTACACTGAAGAGCCTTATGTAATGATAAATAATTTGTCTGTGCATAAGTTTTGTTGCAGCCTCTGCTCTGCAGCTGAAAACAGAGAGCAAGGTGGATTTTAGCACGACAAAGTCGCTTCAGGAGTGATGGTGCCTCATAAAAGTTTAGGCAATGCAGGGTCCTCAAAATGTTGTTGGACTCCAACTCCCATCATCCCCAGCCAATATCATCCACAGTCAGGGATTATGAGAGCTGTAGTCCGTCAATATGGAGAGAGAGACTTTCTGCTGACCATCAGGCAATGCCTTTTCCCACCTGCTTTGCCCGACCCTCCAGCCCCAGGAGACTTTCCCAGACCATGATCTGACAACAGCAGAAGCAGCTTAGAAGAGAGAAGAGGAGATATTTTTAAAAAAAATTATTTTATGTGTGTCCTTGTTTCTCAGTTGGATCTTTTTACATGGTTTCGTATGCTTTCTGGAATTTGTATGCATTGTGACTATGATTATAGTTTATTAATTCTTGATTGTAATTGATAAGTGTAAAATGTTTAATTATTATTTGGTGGTATTTAATTTTACTGTTGACGATTATATTTTAATGGATTTTTGAATATTGCTTTATTTGATATAGGTTGTTTATTTTAAAGTTATTGTGACTTTTTTGTATAGTGGTACCTTGGTTCTCAAACTTAATCCATTCTGGGAGTCCGTTTGACTCCCGAAACCGTTTGAAAACCAAGGCACGGCTTCCGATTGGCTACAGGAGCTTCCTGCACTCAGTTGGAAGCCGCGTCGGACGTTCGGCTTCCCAAAAACGTTCGCAAACCGGAACACTCACTTCCAGGTTTGCAGCGTTTGGGAGCCAATTTGTTTGGGAGACGAGCTGTTTGAGTACCAAGGTACCAATGTATTGGATTAGATTGTTATTACGTGTGCAATCTTTGCTGTCTATTTTGTTGTTTCTTCAGATTGTAAAACGCCTTGTGTATAGTAATCTAGAAAGGCAGTACACAAATTAAAAGTGAAATGAAATGAAATATTTGGAGGGCACCACAAAAAACTACCCCTGATTTAAAGCATTCATGCAATCCAATCTTTGGCCTATCCATAAGAAATGTGGTGCCGTTCTTTGTGTGCAGCGAATTGGCAAAAAAATTACAAGGATCTTCTTGATTCAAGTCGCTTCTGTTCAGTAAGATTATGCATTTCTGGCGAACATAGCAGGGTGATCGTCACTTTGCTTAGTTGACAACTGTCCTTGGCTGTCACAGCTGCTGTCCCCTTTGATGACGACGACAAGATTGTGGGAGGCTACACCTGCCAGGAGCTCTCGGTCCCCTACCAGGTGTCTCTAAATGCTGGATATCACTTCTGTGGGGGCTCTCTCATCAGCAGTCAATGGGTTGTATCAGCTGCTCACTGCTTCCAGTCGTGAGTAAAGAACATTCAAATCCTTCATCAGTGTTGCTTAGGCTCTGTTTCCCTCTCCCCGGAACCTTCTTTCAGAGCTAACAAAGTTTGGATGGGACTAGGGTGTCACCAGGGAGACAGGTACCTTGGCATCTACATGCTGCAGATACTCAGGACAGATCAAAGAAAGCAATTTTCCACATAAAGGTAAAGGTAAAGGGACCCCTGACCATTAGGTCCAGTCGTGGCCGACTCTGGGGTTGCGGCGCTCATCTCGCTTTATTGGTCGAGGGAGCCGGCGTACAGCTTCCGGGTCATGTGGCCAGAATGACTAAGCCGCTTCTGGAGAAACCAGAGCAGCGCACGGAAACACCGTTTACCTTCCCGCCGGAGTGGTACCTATTTATCTACTTGCACTTTGACGTGCTTTCAAACTGCTAGGTTGACAGGAGCAGGGACAGAGCAACGGGAGCTCACCCCGTCACGGGGATTTGAACCGCCGACCTTCCGATCGGCAAATCCTAGGTTCTGTGATTTAACCCACAGCGCCACCCGCATCCCTAATTCTCCACATAGCCGCACAGTAACCTTGGGTCAAATGTTTGTGGTGATGGCTTCTGTGAGGGAGGGGGAATGTGCTTGCAGCTTTCAAGTCAGTGCCCCCATCATCATGAAATAATAATAGTAATAATAATTTATTATTTATACCCCGCCCATCCGGCTGGGCCTCCCAAACTGTTGGTTCCCAACAGATTAAAAACAGAATAAAACATCAAATATTAAAAACTTCCCTAAATGACATAAAAGACTTCCATTGATTTATGAATGTATACCTTCTCTTATCCATGCATTTGAAAATAATAATAACCAAAGAATTAACCTAAAGCTGAGTTCACACAGTTTGGGCAACCAGCTTTTCCTCATAGGAACTTTTGCGTCTTTCCAAAGCTTTGCTACACATATCCCTTGCCGTTTGCTAAACAGTTGTCTACAATCCTTAGCTTCCTTTTTCAGTCACTGCCTGGCCTTAAATATGACCTGGAATAGTGTCTGTGGATTTTATTTTTCTTTCTTTTTTAAGTTTTTCTTTATACTTTTCTAGTTTATACATTTCATTAGTTTTACAAATCAATTTAACATTTCAAAAACTTGACTTCCTTCCCTCTCTTTCTGCAGTTCCTTAATTTTTAAAAAATATTTTCTTCATATCCAAATTCATTTCACTTGCTCATTTAATTATCTACTGTAAATATATACTCTTGTGAAACTGCAGGTTATTACAGTAAGCCTGCTAATGTTCTTATCTGTTCACAATTTATCTGTAAATATTCAATAAACCATTTCCATTCTTTTATAAAAAGTTTGTTATCTTGATTTCTTATTCTTCTGGTAAGTTTCACTATTTCTGTATATTCCATGAGGTTTTGTATCCATTCTTCCTTTCCTGGGACTTCTGCTGCTTTCCATTTTGTCGGTTGTTTTTCTGGCACTTTTCTGTACATGCTCTACATGAATGAACCATATTGCATTCCAGAGCTTCATTTAGATTAAACATTTTGGATTTTGACTGAGAATTCCACACTGTAACATACACTTAATAATAACCACTGTAACATGTTGCAAATATTTCAGTTTCCGCATCCAGGTGAGGCTTGGGGAATACAACATAAATGTCCTGGAAGGGTCAGAGGAGCTCATTGATGCTGAGAAACAAATTCCCCATCCCAAGTATGACCCGGTTACCACGGACAACGACATTATGCTCATCAAGCTGGCTACCCCTGCCACCCTGAACTCCCGCGTCCGAGCCATTTCCTTGCCTTCGAAATGTGTGGCTGCTGGGACTGAGTGCCTGATCTCAGGATGGGGCAACACCCTCAGTGATGGATGTGAGTTAAAGCATGTTTCATGCATTCAAATCACACAGGGCAACTTTTCTTTCTGCAGGAATTCAAGGCCAAACTAGACATTGCCATGGAGGTGCATCTAGCAGCCTCTCAGCACTTTTAGTAGTAGTAGCAGTAATAATAATAATAATGTTGTTGTTGTTTAGTCGTTTAGTCGTGTCCAACTCTTCGTGACCCCATGGATCAGAGCACGCCAGGCACTCCTGTCTTCCACTGCCTCCCGCAGTTTGGTCAAACTCATGCTGGTAGCTTCGAGAACACTGTCCTACCATCTCGTCCTCTGCCTTCCCCTTCTCCTTGTGCCCTCCATCTTTCCCAACATCAGGGTCTTTTCCAGGGAGTCTTCCCTTCTTACGAGGTGGCCAAAGTACTGGAGTCTCAGCTTCAGGATCTGTCCTTCCAGTGAGCACTCAGGGCTGATTTCCTTAAGAATGGAGAGGTTTGATCTTCTTGCAGTCCATGGGACTCTCAAGAGTCTCCTCCAGCACCAGAATTCAAAGGCATCAATTCTTCGGCGAATATAATAATATTATTATTAATAATAATAATAGAAGAAGAAGAATAGAATAATAATAATAGTACCAATAATAATAATTTATAGCAGCACATGCAGGGGCTGCTTAACCTTTTCCTCCCTGGCTGTTCCACAGCCCATGTACCATTTCAAATGGAGAAATGGCATGTTTGGATGCTTCTCTGTACAAAACAAATCTGCCCAAATATTGAAATGTGGCATGTTAGGGAGATTAAGCTGAAACTCATTGCTTATGGGATTGTTATTTAGAGCATTGGTACCCCCACTGTTCAGTCAAAAAAGGGCTTCTAAGGTGGCTTAAAGGTAAAGGACCCCTGACAGTCAAGTCCAGGCCTGAATGACTCTGGGGTTGCAGCGCTCATCTTGCTTTACAGGCTGAGGGAGCCGACGTTTGTCCGCAGACAGTTTTTCTGGGTCATGTGGCCATTGTGACTAAGCTGCTTCTGGTGAAACCAGAGCAGTGCATGGAAACACCGTTTACCTTCCCGCCAGAGTGGTACCTATTTATCTACTTGCACTTTGACATGCTTTCAAACTGCTAGGTTGGCAGGAGCTGGGACCGAGCAATGGGAGCTCACCCCGTCGCGGGGATTTGAACTGCCGACCTTCCGATCGGCAAGCCCTAGGCTCTGTGGTTTAGACCACAGTGCCACCCACATCTCCTAGGTGGCTTATGTACCATCAATTAAAACAAGGTAGTCCCTGCTTGCAAGTTTGCCATTTAACCAACACAACACAAAAGGAAAAACGGGGCAGGTAGGGATGAGGAAAATAGCAAACTACAAAGTAGGTATGTAGAAGGGGCAAGTTTTTGTGGTTGTTCTTTTTTTAAAAAAAGAAAAACCCTCAAACATGTAATTCCTGAACTTTGTAAACTGTAGTGGTATGGCCCCAGGAACGCGATACAATATCACAGGTCATGCTGTGGTTTGGTAGTTTTTGCTTCTCTCTTAATTTCTTGGTTTATAACAACATTCCTTAATTCCTTTTCTCCCACCCACTCCATTTTGGGGCAGTCAACTTGCCAGAGCTTCTTCAGTGCCTGGATGCTCCCGTTCTAAGTGACGCCGAGTGCAAGGATGCCCTGGTGGGGCAAATCACCCCAAACATGATATGCGCAGGATACCTGGAAGGCGGCAAAGATTCCTGTGACGTGAGATGCCTTTCTGTGCCTTTTTTCTTTTGCCCAGACACAAATGCTGCTGCTGCTACACTTGTGCCTTTAATTAGAAGAACCATGCGGGTCACATTTGCAGATGACACCAAACCGGGGGAGGGGTAGCCAATGCCGCAAGATGACAGAATCAGGATTCGAAATGACCTTAACAGATTGGAGGATGGGAACCAAACTAATAAAATGAATTCCAATAGGGATAAATGCAAGGTTTTTCACTTAGACAGGGAAAACCAGCTGTGCACAAATAGAAGATGATGTTCCATACATTAAAAATAGGACACATTCTAGAAGGCAGGTTGAATCCAAACTGGGAAACATTGGCTTGTTGTAGAATAGAGCCTAAGGGTTCAAACCATCTCCAGTGCTAAGTTGGGAAAATCAAACCCCTTTGAAGACCTTCAGAGGAGTGTGTGTGTGTGTGTGTGTCTGTGTGTGTGTGTGTTTCCCCCTTTAGAATGCCATAATCAGGCTTCAGATTTATAAATTGGTACCCAACTAAAAACAGACGTTTCTTAACTACCCAAATCTTTTATTTACAGGGGGATTCTGGTGGACCCATGGTATGCAACGGGGAGCTCCAAGGAATTGTGTCTTGGGGCATAGGGTGTGCTCTGAAAGGTTTTCCTGGCGTATACACCAAGGTCTGTAACTATGTGGACTGGATCCAAGAAACAATTGCGGCCAACTGAAAGATCCATCCCTGTCTTTGGATATTTGCCTTTTCTTCTGTTTAATTCAGCACCGTTGTGCTAAATAAAGTCAGATCATGTGATGCAGCCATCTTTTTCTTTCATGAGTTAGCAGAGTTCCAAAAGTGAACTAATCCCCCCCTCTATACTTTGAAGTTTTTATACTGGAAATCCGTGTTAAACATTTCTGTCACACAGTATTCCTGACAATTATAACCAGTGCTTTTTTTTCTGAAGAAAATGTTTAGGTGTACTCTCATTTTGACTCAAGAAAATGACCATTTTATAGTTCAAATCGGGGAAAATAAACACAGTAAATGGACAAAAATACAAAGAACATGCATTACTCATATTGAAATACTGTCCCTCAATGAGGCCAAACTTCCATCAGTAAAACACCACACACCCACATTCTACACTGTTTCACACATTAAACGCTCACTTCCATCTGAAACTCAGGAAACACTGGGAAAGGAAAGGAAGCCGCCATCGGAGGTGGTAACAACAAAACTGACCAATCACCATGCTAGATTCCAATTCCTACTTCACACATTAAACGCTCGCTTCCTTCTGAGACTCAGGAAACACTGTGACAAGAAATGAGGCCGCCATTGGGATAGCAACGGTACTGACGATTCAACATGCTAGAGAAGAAACTAATTTTTTATACTTTTTTTAGTTTCATCTCTCGTTAGATTCACAAAATGCTTAGGGGTATGCGTACCCCTGCGTACCCCCGAAAAAAAAGCACTGATTATAACACCCATTAAGGAAGTAAGTTCATTTTTGAATGAATGGAGAATTGAACCAAATGGGGTTCAGTTTCAAAATAAATGCATCGGGCAATGAATGGTTGTGTAGATTTCTTGCCCCATTTGTACCCAATTGTTGGCAGTGAAGCTTACCTGGCTTTGGGGGCTGATGCTCTTAGAGGCTGTCATTATATTTATCCATGATGAATTATACGACATTTGGGGGGGGATAGTAGCTAACACAAAAAAGTGCCCCCACAACTGTTAACTACTGAAATCAGTTTTGCTATCACTGCCCCCATGGCGACAGCAACTTTCCCACCCACCCCTAAAGTCAGAAGCAAGAACCAAAGAACAAAAATGAATGTAGGTACCGAAAGAAATACGAGTCTAATGAATGAATAATGAAGAATTGCCCTCCTGGATAAAACCGAGAATCCTCCTGTTTAAATATATTGTTAAAAAAGTTAGGTGCCTCCCCATTTCTGTGCTGAGCAGTGGCAAGAGCCCATGGGTACCAGGCACAAATCCAGGGTCTGTGGTCCTTTGGGGAATTGAAGACATGGCGGGGGCTGTGGTAGGTTTAAAAATGTGATTTATTCACATACAGTGGTACCTCGGGTTACAGACGCTTCAGGTTACAGACTCTGCTAACCCAGATATAGTACCTCGGGTTAAGAACTTTGCTTCAGGATGAGAACAGAAATTGTGCGGCGGCAGTGGGAGGCCCCATTAGCTAAAGTGGTACCTCAGGTTAAGAACATTTCCAGGTTAAGAATGGACCTCCGGAACGAATGAAGTTCTTAACCCGAGGTACCACTGTATTTACACCTGATTTTAGATGGACTCCAGATCTTAAAGCATGGTCATCTCAAGAGGGGCTTGTTCCCCCCAGCAGGGCAGCTCTAAAGTCCAGGGCATTTCTCTCTCTTTTTCCTCCCTTCTTCCTCCCAGCACATGTCACCTCACACCCAGTTACCCAGGCAACCTTCCAACCCCCCAAGTCTGTTCACACCTCAGGGCAGGGGGGAAGGACAGTTCTCCTGTGCTGCCAAATGGCCTTCAGTGGCCCTGCATTGTTTCTTAATGACCCTAGCTTGGCCAGGTCCTTTTGCATAGGCTGGCCCAGGAATCCCTCTGCAGCTTGTATTTCTCCCTTCACATCCCAAGTCAACAAAATCCTACCATTTATTAATTTCTAGGGGTCATCCCCCCACTGAATCTATAACACCATTAATGTCTAGCCAGATGCTTTGAGAAAGCCTCCCAGGTCAAACTCTGTTGACTCAAGCAGCTGATTACCAGAACCCATGTATTACCAGGCACCACCCAACTTGCTGTTTTTGGACTACAACTCCCATCATCCCTAGATAACAGGACCAGTGGTCGGGAATGATGGGAATTGTAGTCCCAAAACAGCTGGAGTGCCAGGTTTGGTCATGCCTGTATTACACAGATTCATGCTTGGAGGACAGAACGGGGGTTCTCCACCGCCTGACAAATAACAGTCTATCAGGCACAAAGACTTTTCTGAAAATCTTGAGCATTGTCAGCATAGACTGGCGTGGCTCTGCAGAGTTTTGGAGGGAGTTCTCTCCCAACCCTACCTGGGCATGCTGCAGACTGAATGGTAGACCTGCTACACACAAGGCAGAAGTGCTACCAATGTGCCACACATCTCTTAACAGGGAGAAATGTAAAGTATTGCACTTGGGCAAAAAAAATGAGAGGCACAAATACAAGATGGGTGACACCTGGCTTGAGAGCAGTACATGTGAAAAGGATCTAGGAGTCTTGGTTGACCGCAAACTTGACATGAGCCAACAGTGTGACGCGGCAGCTTAAAAAGCCAATGCAATTCTGGTCTGTATTCTGCTCTGGTCAGACCTCACCTGGAGTACTGTGTCCAGTTCTGGGCACCACAGTTCAAGAAGGACACTGACAAACTGGAACGTGTCCAGAGGAGGGCAACCAAAATGGTCAAAGGCCTGGAAACAATGCCTTATGAGGAACGGCTAAGGGAGCTGGGCATGTTTAGCCTGGAGAAGAGGAGGTTAAGGGGTGATATGATAGCCATGTTCAAATATATAAAAGGATGTCATATAGAGGAGGGAGAAAGGTTGTTTTCTGCTGCTCCAGAGAAGCAGACACGGAACAATGGATCCAAACTACAAGAAAGAAGATTCCACCTAAACATTAGGAAGAACTTCCTGACAGTAAGAGCTGTTTGACAGTGGAATTTGCTGCCAAGGAGTGTGGTGGAGTCTCCTTCTTTGGAGGTCTTTAAGCAGAGGCTTGACAACCATATGTCAGGAGTGCTCTGATGGTGTTTCCTGCTTGGCAGGGGGTTGGACTCGATGGCCCTTGTGGTCTATTCCAACTCTATGATTCTATGATTCTATTCTATGATTCTTCCCCAAAGGACTTGAGACCTGTGGAGGTCTATATACATAGGTTTACTTGGAAAGAGGTGTTCCACTGGGAGGGGCCACTACCGAGAAGGCGCTCTGCCTGGTTCCCTGTAACCTCATTTGTCACAGTGAGGAAACTACCCGAAGGCCCTCAGAGATAGACCTCAGTGTCCAGATTGGATGATGGAGGTGGAAACGCTCCTTCAGGTATGCTGGGCTGAGGTCATTTAGGGCTTCAAAGGTCAGCACCAACACTTTGAATTGTGCTCAGAAATGTACTGGGAGCCAGTGTAGATCCTTTAGGACCAGTGTTATATGGTCTCAGTGGCCACTCCTGGACACAAGTCTAGCTGCCACATTCTGGATTTGTTGTAGTTTCTGACTCACCTTCAAAGTAGCCCCACGTAGAGCTCGTTGCCGTAGTCAAAGCTGGAGATAACTAGAGCATGCACCACTCTAGCGAGACAGGTAGGGTCTCAGTCGGTGTACCAGATGGAGCTGGTAGACAGCTGCCCTGGACACATAACTGACCTGTGTTTCCATGGACAGCTGTGAGTCCAGAATGACTCTCAAGCTGCGTGCCTTGTCTTTCAGGAGCACAGTTATCCCATAGCCTTATCCTCCATCAATCTGTCTCTCTACAGCCTGGATCTCAACCGAGATAAGTAGCATTAACTGGTATGAACCCTGAAAAAAAGAAGGTATGAACATGGTAGGGAGGAGAAGCACTCGGTGCCATTAATAGGTGAAGCTTTTCCTGGCATGGAGATACCATGTTAAATTTCTCTATTCCAGGCTACTGTGAAATGCAAAAGAGCAGGGGAAGAAGTAAAACTGCAACCTTCTGTATCAGTTCCCCTTGCATGTGTTACACTAGCAACAATTCTCCATGGTTCTCTGTGCCAGAACTATGGGCACCAACCAGCAGGAAAGTTTTCTCCCTGCTCTGGGAAGGAAAAACCTGGGTTTGACAGAGTTGTATAGATAGGATAATGAGGGAGTGCAGAATTGATCTCTGGAATCTTTCTGACTTCTCAGGGCCAGGGGGAGGTCTTTTGCAACCCAGGGTAGGGGAACAAATGCTCCCTGCGCCAACATTTTGTCATATGCCGGGCAGGAGAATCTAAACTCATGAAATAACCACAACTACACCCACTGGATGTGCATGCCCATATTCAAGTTCAGAAGATACTGGGCAGATTTTACTAGCTGATGCAATTGGAGATATGTCTGCCTTTAGCAGGCAAGAGGTGACCTTTTATTTGAGGACAGTTGGGGCATTCTGGGGCATGCATGTTTCTGCTGTCCTACTATTGGGCATGGTGCACACACATAAAGCTCATGTCCTCCAACATCATCACCACCACCATCATCATACCACTCTACCTGTCTGACTGAGGGACATGGGTGGCACTGTGGGTTAAACCACAGAGCCTAGGACTTGCCAATCAGAAGGTCGGTGGTTCGAATCCCCGCGACGGGGTGAGCTCCTGTTGCTCGGTCCCTGCTCCTGCCAACCTAGCAGTTTGAAAGCACGTCAAAGTGCAAGTAGATAAATAGGTACCGCTCCGGTGGGAAGGTAAACGGCGTTTCTGTGTGCTGCTCTAGTTCGCCAGAAGTGGCTTGGTCATGCTGGCCACATGACCTGGAAGCTATACACCGGCTCCCTCAGCCTATAGAGTGAGATGAGCACTGCAACCCCAGAGTCGTCCGTGACTGGACCTAATGGTCAGGGGTCCCTTTACCTTTTACCTATCTGACTCGGTTGCCCCAGCCACTCTGGGCTGCTTTCAACATATATTAAAACATAATAAAAGATGAAACATTTAAAAACTTCCCTCTGCAGGGCTGCCTTCAGTGTCATCTAAAGATTGTATAGTTACTTATCTCCTTGGCTTGGGGGCCACATAACTCCATTTCCTCCAACATTTCTCTGGTGAACATACGTCCTAAGGAAAAGCGGGACATTCCGTGATCAAATAAGAAACCAGAATGGCTTCTTTAAATCTGGGACTGTCCCTGAAAAACAGGGAAATTTGGAGGGTCTGTGTGTGGGATCTGTAGCTACAAAGGATTCACAACACTCCCTAGCCAGAATAGTGTAGTTATTAGGTTATGAAATTCTCTGTAAAGCTAAAGAAGCTCAGAACAATGTATGAACAGGGCTTGGTGGTTTCCTCGGCACTGTATATTTCCTGTCCAGTCTGGCCGAAGCTCAGCATAGGCCTGCCATTTATCTGCCATATAATTCCATGCCCTTGAAGGCACTTTCTTTCACCTTTGGTGGACCTGCCCGAAGATTAAGGCCTTTTGGGAAATGATATATAATGAAATGAAAAAGGTACTTAAATGTACTTTTCCTAAGAAACCAGAGGCCTTTCTCTTGGGCATTGTCGGCCAATTGGTGTCAAAGAGGGACAGAACGTTCTTTATGTATGCTACAACAGCAGCAAGAATACTCATAGCAAAGTATTGGAAGACAGAAGATCTACCCACCTTGGAAGAGTGGCAGATGAAGGTGATTGACTACATGGGACTGGCTGAAATGACTGACAGAATCCGAGACCAGGGGAAAGAGACGGCGGAAGAAGATTGGAAGAAATTTAAAATTTATCTTTAAAAATATTGTAAAATTAATGAATGTTAAAATGTTGTGGTTATATAATGTAAGGGATTACAGCTGTAAAAGATTAAGTAAAAGAAAAGAAAGGGAAAAACTGGATAAAATCAAGGGGAAGGATTTGCTGAAATAATCTGGGGAATTGGAATGCAGAAAGGGGAGGTATGGGGAAGTCGATGAAGTAAGTTTAAGAAAAAAGGAGTGGAAATTATACGTGTTTGTTTGTTATTGTATGTATTTTTTTGTATTGTGTGTATTGTATGTGTTTTCAAAAATTTGTGAAAATTTAATAAATATTTATAAATATATATATATAATTCCATGCCCTACAGTTCCGACGGGCTTTAGAATTCTGCACTCCCTTGGGCTGTAGCCCACACAGAACAGGATTACAGGATTTGTGATGTTTCATAAGCATCCAAGATGGCAGAAAGGGGGCCCAAGACAGGACTCAGCTGTGTACATTGGCAGAACTACACACACCACAACATCTCAATTCCTAGAAATGTTTCACTTCAGATACAAGGCACCTGGGGTTATGTTATCACCTTGGGCACTTGCAAGGTCTATTTTAACCAAGCTGATGCAAGACTATGGGAAGTGGAAAGCTGGTGGGACCTTGGGCTGAGGAGATAAGGTCCTAGGGAAGGTATAAATGTGGAGAGATGCCTTCAGAAAGTCCTGTTGTAACTGACGAATCCACTGAGAAGACATCATGAAACTCCTCTTGGTCATTGCCTTCCTGGGAGCAGCAGGTGAGTCTTTCAAAATGCCAGGTTTTAAAAGAATACAAAATGAGCCCCTGTTTCCAGTGGGTTTTGGGTACTGCTTTGAAAAGAATTTGTTAGCTCTTTTTATGGTATGTCTGCATATCACCTTGAGACAGATGTAAAAGGTGATTTGTAAATTAATTTATTACAGAGTAATGAGGAGGTTATAATGGAGTTCTGAAGTCGTGGGTCTATACTAGGTAAGACCGTTGCTGTAGATCAGCCATAGGCAGTGTCGGCCCGCCAGATATTTTGGGACTACAACTCCCATGATCCCTAGCTAGCAGGACCACTGGTCAGGGATGATGGGAATTGTAGTCCCAAAACATCTGGAGGGCTGAGGTTGCCTATGCCTGCTGTAGATGCTTGAGGAATTCATTCTTTAAGAATTCTAATGTAAAATTATCTGATCTAATATGTGGATTGCAACACAGTGATTCATTAGTTTCTGCACTTTCCAGTTCTCAATTCAAAAATCATATAGAAACATATGACATCTCTTTTGAGAGAAAATACTACTAATTTATTATTTCTACCCCCACCCATCTGGCTCTGTTTCCCCAGCCACTCTGGGCGGCTTTCAACAGAACATTAAAAACCGAGTACAACTTCAAACATTAAAAACTTCCCTAAACAGGGCTGACTTCAGACATCTTCTAAAAGTCAGATAGTTGTTTATTTCCTTGACATCTGATGGGAGGGCGTTCCACAGGGCTGGTGCCACTACCGAGAAGGCCCTCTGTCTGGTTCCCTGTAACCTCCCTTCTCACAGTGAGGGAACCACCAGAAGGCCCTTGGAGCTGGACCTCAGTGTCCGTGCAGAATGTCAGTGTCTGAGCTGAATGATGGGGATAGAGATGCTCCTTCAGGTATACTGGGCCGAGGTACAGTATACAGAAAATACAGAAACTGAGAAGAGATTTAAAAATATTCATTTAAAAAGACATATGTTTATATGTGCATCTTCAAGCAGTGTCTTTTAAATACAGATTTGTATGGGAACTGGACAGAGCAGTCCTATGGGTGAACATATGTAAAACTGATTTGCACATCCTTAAGAACCAGAAATATAGATATTCCTGAGATGTGACCACATGAAACTCAAGGGATCAAGCAACTGCCTCTCCCTTCTTAACCTTAACTTCAAGGCCTGGTCATGTTATCAAGAAGAAACTGTGCCTAATTTGGGGTTTTGTTTTGCTTTCTGAAGAATCCAAGTTACTTTGCAGTCTGTGCTCATTCTGATTTTCCCTGTTTTTGTCAGTTGCTCGCCCCTTTGATGATGACGACAAGATTGTGGGAGGATACACTTGCGAGAAGAACTCCGTCCCCTACCAAGTATCACTGAATTCTGGGTACCACTTCTGCGGGGGTTCCCTCATCAATGAACAATGGGTTGTCTCAGCTGCTCATTGCTACAAATCGTGAGTGACTGACACTTCCTTTCTCCATTGCCGTGTTTGTACTGCAAGCCCACAAGATCTCAACATTTAGGAACAGTAAGAACCAGTGTGGGTTTCGAGGGCTCCAGATTGTTCAGAGTAGACCCCTCTCGTTTTTATGTAATTAAGCAACACCACAGCCTATCGCCATGATGGAGCCATCGGTAGCTGCATCTGAATATAGATTTTGAAAGCATATTCTGGGTGGGTCTTCCAGGACAATGCGCTGAACTAGATCCTGAAGTGTAGAATGAAGAAAGCCCTCTATTGATCCAGGAAAGGCAAAAGGCAGGATTTCTAATATTTATACTAGACCCATCCAATCCAGAGACTTCTTGCCATCTGTCAAACACTGTCTCACAGTACCCGATGCCTTCCTGAGTCCCTTTGGGGGAAAGGGCAGGATATAAATTTAACGAACAAACGAACAAACAAGCATTCCCCTCTGAACTTAAAGAGGACTCTGAGATCTGAGCATGAGGATTGAGCCACAAAGCAGAAGTTTCTCTGTCTTGAGTCTCACACCTTTCGCTAAATTGTGTTGTGTACTTAGAGCTTCGCTGGGATTATTTCCAATTTTTATTGAACATAATTTATTTACCACTTCAGTGCTCTTTTTCTAGAAGAAGAAGTGCGAGAGCTCAGCCATTTTATTGTAGTAACTCTTCTAACTGGTTTACATGAAATCTAGAATCTAATGTGCAATTTAAAAAAACAAACAAAAAACCCACAAAATTTCCAGGGACAGCAGAAAGGCACCACTTATAGTCATTTTAATGAACGGGCTAGTACCATGCTGTTTCTTATTGTAACAATTTGTATGACTTTAATAGATACGTATCTCTATCGATGTATGTTTAATTGTTTTTTTATGATATGCTTTTCTGTGTTTTTAGCAATTCATATTTTTATGTCAGGTAAAAAGGTGTGGGGGGTATAAATAAATATAAAGCAACAACAACAACAATTAATGGAACAATATAAATATATATCTATTATTATTATTAGAATTTATTTATTCAGTATTCACAGAGAGAGACAAAGGAATGCAGTTTCTATTAAATAATGGCGTTGCTCCTAGTGAAGTCCAAACCCCTCTGGCTCTCCTATTCTACGTCATCCCTACAGTGGTTGATCTGAGCTTTCTGCCTCTGAGCTTTCTGTTCTGCTACTCGCAATGCCCGCCTAGTCCTGGGAGGGGGGGTCAGGAATGCTTTCCATAGACACTGAATCTGTCAGCTGTCTCTCCCCCAATCCTTCTTCTTCCTGCTATTCTTCTCCCAATATTTCCCAGCTTTCCCCCTCTGCAGCCTCTGAACTGTGGCCTTCTGCAAACCACTGTTCTAAATCTATACAGTGGTACCTCTGGTTACGTACTTAATTCGTTCCCGAGGTCCGTTCTTAACCAGAAACTGTTCTTAACCTGAAGCACCACTTTAGCTAATGGGGCCTCCCGCTGCTGCCGTGCCACCGCTGCACGATTTCTGTTCTCCTCCTGAAGCAAAGTTCTTAACCTGAAGCACTATTTCTGGGTTAGTGGAGTCTGCAACCTGAAGCGTATGTAACCCGAGGTACCACTGTATTGTCCTCCTGTTCTTGGGAAGGTTCAGGAGAAGGGGGGCGGCCCCCAGTGGCGTAGCGTGGGGGTGCAGGGGGGCCGGCCGCACCGGGCGCAACACCTGGGGGTTAGGGTTAGGGGGCGCAAATCCACGGGTTAGGGGGCGCAAATCCACGGGTTAGGGGGGCGCAAATTACTTGCCTTGCCCCGGGTGCTGACAACCCACGCTACGCCACTGGCAGCCTCCCACCATTCCTCCTCAGTCCAACCCCTGACAGGCCAGACACCGCACAGTGCGCTCAGCACCCTGTCAACACTTGATTTTGCAGCCGCATCGAAGTGAGGCTTGGAGAACACGACATTATGCAGGTGGAAGGAGGCGAGCAGTTCATCAATTCCGAAAAGGTCATTCGCCATCCAAAGTACAACTCTTGGCTCCTGGATAACGACATCATGCTCATCAAGCTGAGCTCCAATGCTGAGATTTCCTCACGCATCACCCCCATCACCTTGCCTAGCGGATGCGCAGCTGCCGGAACTGAATGCTTGATCTCAGGGTGGGGCAACACTCTTAGCAGTGGAGGTGAGCATGAACATGGTTTAGTCAACCCATCGGCATTTATTTATTTATTTACTTATTATTTAAACTACCTTTCCACCAAGGTTCCCATCTCAGCGGTACCTAATTCCACAGCTAACGAAACAGCCCACTTTCTCATCGATCCCCAAGGTCCGATGGGGCAGATAGAAAAGGTGTCAGTGATAGAGGGGCAATTGCAACTCCGACGGAAGAGTTTCGCAACCGAGGTGCCATCGCAGAAAAGACCCTGCAGCATGTCACCACAAAGGGGGCCACACCCACAGATGGAACCCCTAGAAGGGTACCCCCAGTCTCAACACATGGGCCAGTTTATAATGTACTTTGACTCCAACCTAAGTCCTGCAGGCATATGAAAGGAGAACACCCATTTGCTGGCACTCTGGTGGGCTTGGGAGCACTAGGCGGTACTGTGCAGTTCACCTCAGACATAGCAGATGTGCGCACACCAGGTCTACGTCTGCCCCTGCATCCCCGCGCCATGTGCTGACCCCTGGGCACTCCACCTTCAACCTTCCCATATGGAATGGGGATGTCTGAAGGGGGTTTCTAAGCATATTTGACTTTGTAAGCCCAGAAGCAATGAAATCAGGAACCCTGGTCAAGCAAGGCACCTGATCATTCAGCTACTTCTAAGTGTGTTCATTCAAGTACACTTAGAAGGCCTTTAGCTGTGATTAGTAGCTCGATTCAGAAATAACACCTGAATGGGCCTTATATTTGTCACGTTTTAACTGTAAGAAAAGGTTTCGTTTCTAGAAAAAGAGATGGGGCTCAAGTCAGCCTACTAATCTAGAGCAGGGGTCGGCAAGGCTTACTGGGCATGGGCCGGATCACTCCTGTGGAGATCCGGGTTGGCGCAGCACGATGCCGGAAATCATGACTGCGCATGCCCGTGGCGCCAGAAATCACTTCTGTGCATGCCCAGACGCCGGAGAGCACACCTGCGCAGGTATAGGTATAGGGCAGTATATAAATTCAATAATGAAATGAAATGAAATGAAATGAAATGGAAGCACCCCGGCAAGTTTGATATCTTGTGAGTTGATCAGCCTTTTTACATAAGGCTAGAGGCCCACAAAAATAGACAACATCTCTCTTCCCAACATTCCTGGCTTGTTGTCTTAGTTACACCCCTTTGCCTTTTCCTTCCAGTCAACTACCCTGACCTTCTCCAGTGCCTCAATGCTCCCATCCTCGGTGACGCCGAATGCCGAGATGCCTATCCAGGGCAAATCACTGACAACATGATCTGCGTCGGGTACTTGGAGGGCGGCAAAGACTCCTGCCAGGTGAGAGGAGTCACCTTTAGTTCCATTATTAAATGAGGAGCTCTGAGCCCTTGAAAATACAGTAGTACCTCTGGTAAAGAACTTAATTCGTTCTGGAGGTCCGTTCTTAACCTGAAACTGTTCTTAACCTGAAGCACCACTTTAGCTAATGGGGCCTCCCACTGCTGCTTCCACCGCACAATTTCTGTCCTCATCCTGAAGCAAAGTTCTTAACCCGAGGTACTATTTCTGGGTTAGCGGAGTCTGTAACCTGAAGTGTCTGTAACCTGAAGCGTCTGTAACCTGAGATACCACTGTAATTAACCACAATTTTTTTTTTGCCACTCAGCTTTCTTTGGCAGTAGCCACAAATAGTTACAGGTATCCTGTAAGATGTCAGTCCTGAGTGGGAGCAAAGCTTGAAATTTGCATGCCTGGGTGTAGCCAGGATGTTTTTTTTGGGGGGGGCAGGCCTTTTGTTAGAGGGAGCAGAACCGACGTGATTGGTCAGTTAGTTAAGTATTTCTATTGTTTTACCTGATGAGGGGGGCAGTTGCCCCCCTGCCCCCTCCCCTTGGCTACACCCGTGTTTGCATAATACACTTTGTGTTTATGCTGCTTCCACCATTTTCTGTGGTGGAAGTGGGGATATTTGCTAAGGATCAGGTTGCACACTTTGTCTGAGGGCGAAATCAGCATCTTAAGCAAGAATCACTGCTTGTTTCCTCAGAGGCTGAATTCACACTGCAAAGCAACTATGCTGCAGCACAAGGTGGGGTAGACATTCAGTTCAGTTCCCATGTGAAGGCAAACCTACATAATTCACACTTTCTAAAACAATACACAAAACAAAGCACAGCTCTCCCCTAAATTCACACATCTCTGAATATTGCAATGCAGTTCTTTAAGCAAGTCACATAAACAAAAAACACATACATGCTAGAGTAAAGTGTGTCTAAAAATGAATTATTGGTGAAAATAACGTTTCAAAAATGCAGTATATTGCGGGAAATTGCTTTGCAAAAATCTGCATATTAGCCATATAAAAATGTGTATATTCAGAGAAATTCACGCAAAAATGCTGATAAATTATCCCGAGGACTTAAAGAAGCACAAAACCTTAGGTGGAAATGTGGACAACTAAACTTAAGTCTGGAAAAATCAGAAACCAAAACTGACTATTTGGCTCATCGCTTGCTGTAGAGCTCCTATTTAAACACTGCCATGTTATCTGGGCACTTGCTTGGTGTGACCATTTTACTGTGAGAACGGGAGGACTCTGGTTGCTGCTGCTCTTCTGTTCTTGTGGGCTGGGCAGGAGAAGCCCCAAACTGGGGCAGAGACATGGAGAAGAGAGATTCCCAGAATTCAAGGGAAAACAAGACTTCAATTGATATTTTTTTCCAATTTTTTTTATTGATTTTCCAAATTTATAACAAACATAGACAAACAAACAAACATAAATCCTAACTGTAATAGTTCCACTTTTGTTAACATTCGACTTCCTCGAACCCCCCTGGCTGAGTTTCAATGTATATCATTGTAGGAGTTTTCCAAAACTAATTTCTCATAAAATTTACTTAGTCAGTTAACATCTTTCTTTATTTTCATATTAACTTTAGACATATTATTCTATAACATCACATATTTAAATCCTAAGCCAATCTGGTACTTGCAAGGATTTCTATTTAAGTTATCTTAGCATATTTAGCTGAATAGTCTTTAAATTTCATCCATTCCTCCTGGTACTCCTCCTCCTCCTGGTCGCGGACTCTTCTGGTCAGGTCGGCTAGCTCCCAAAAGTCCATCATCTTCATCTGCCATTCCTCCACCGTTGGCACTTCTTGTGTTTTTAATGGATATTTTTGCTGTCGTACAAGGAAAAGCAACATGACCTGGGCTGCATGCATGCCATGTTTCACTTGCAACCTCTTTTGTCTCGCAGGGGGATTCCGGTGGCCCCGTGGTCTGCAATGGCGAGCTCCAGGGCATCGTTTCATGGGGAATGGGCTGCGCTCTCTCTGGCTACCCCGGAGTCTACACCAAGGTCTGCAACTATATTGACTGGATCCAGGAAACCATTGCTGCTAACTAAGACAGCAATTCCTCCTCTAGTTTCAACATACTAGCACCCTTTGCTTCTCATGTAATTCGTCTTAATAATAATATAAAAAAAGAATTCCAAGGAAATAAATGAATACAGATTACTAAACCTATCCAGGTTCATGGTTGTTTTCTTTTCACCACACTCCAATCAAAGGGCATATCTGTGCTACAGACTTTTATCGGGGCACTTTTCACTTTCATATTTCCACTTCTTTTTACCCTATTTATAAAGTGCATTTCTTTATTTATGATGATTCCTACCAAGACGACTTACAACTAACATTCGATTACAAAAGAACCCTTTAAAAAAACCTAAAAGGAAAAAGAACACATTTAAAATGTTAACATATTAGAAACAGCATCACACTGAGCAAACTCAGATTTTCTAACCCTAACCCTTTTAGAATTAGGTGGGATTTTTTAAAAATATATTTCTTTTCCCCTTTTGTTTTAATGTATGTACTGTACATGGGTTATTGTCTTTTGGTTGGTTGGTTGCAAGTTGCTTTGAGTTGCCCTGGGCAAGATAAAGCAACTAACAAAATAAACAAATACCCAACAGGAAAAAGAATATGAATTTCAGGCGACTTATGCACAATAACATTACCATGCTGCAATGCAAAGATCAAATTTAAATTCTGCAGTGCTTCCTTTTCTCTTGGCAGTGCCAGACCCTCCGAGTGTCCCTATTTTCCAGAGACAGTCCCAGACTTACAGAAGACATTCCGGTTTCTAATTTGATCCCAGAATGTCCTGTTTTTACTTAGAACATCCCTATTTTAATTGGAGAAATGTTGGTGGGTTTGGAGCTATGCCATCCCCAAGCCATCTGAGAGCAGCCCTGTATAGGGAAGTTTTTTTTAATGTTCATTAAACATTATGGTTTTATATATGTTGGAAGCCACCCAGAGTGGCTGGGGCAACCCAGTCAGATGGGTGGGGTATAAATAGTAAAATATAGTAGTAAAAGGGAAAGGTAAAGGGACCCCTGACCATTAGGTCCAGTCACGTACTACTCTGGGGTTGCAGCGCACATCTTGCTTTATTGGCCGAGGGAGCTGGCGTACAGCTTCCAGGTCATGTGGCCAGCATGACTAAGCCGCTTATGGCGAACCAGAGCAGTGCACGGAAACACCGTTTACCTTCCCGCCGGAGCGATACCTATTTATCTACTTGCACTTTGACGTGCTTTCGAACTGCTAGGTTGGCAGGAGCAGGGACCGAGCAACGGGAGCTCACCCCGTCGCGGGGATTCGAACCGCCAACCTTCTGATCGGCAAGCCAAAGATCTCCCTATTTTCATCAGATAAATGTTGGAGGGTATGCAGTGGAGGAACTTAGACTAAGATCCTTCAGTCTGAAGCCTGTTTGTTTGTCTTCCATCTTGGGAAGGCAGAAATTCTGCATCAGCCTTTGATGGATACCATGTGCAGAGTCAGGCAATTTGTTAGTTCTCTAGATAGCCTTTCGTTCCCTCTTGTATGTGGATTTAGTTAAGGTATCGGATCTATGTGAAGAATATCCCGCAATAACTCTGTCCCCTGCTTCAAACTGATTACAGTTGGAGGCTTCCCTCTGCTGGCCGCTTTAGGGACTCCCCCCCCCCATGAAAAACCAGAAGCTTCCATAGGTAAATACAGGGGGTGTACAAAAATGTCCCTGCAAATCAGGAGTGGTAAAAAATGGCGTTGTGTGTGTGTGTGTGTGTGTGTGTGTGTGTGTGTGTAATTTTGCTGAGTCGGCAAAATGTCAGGGGTGATACGGACCGGGAAAGGGGGGGGTACCTCCTTTCCCCTTCTCCTTTGAACAACCGAGGCGATGACCTCGAGGGTGCCCACAATGCACCCACCCTCAGCCCCCCTCACCGTTACACAAGCACCACACGTCTCCCGTCACCCCCTTTTCCTTCTTTCTTTCTGGAGCGAAATAAGCTCAAATATATGAACATATCCTCCTATCTCTTCCTATGGCTATTCGCGCTCCATTCTCAGAACGGGTAGACCTGGCGTTCCAGCTTCTCCGCTAATTCCTATGGCTGCGCCTTAGCCAATCACAGCCATGCATTTATCCTGCACGAGCTAGCTCACGGAGCCCTTGCACGCCTCGTTGAGCCTACTGACAAGCTGCTGACGGCCCCCCACGGAGAGAACAATGGATCCGAAACCAAGGGCCTCGTAAAGCTGTCAAAATGTATCCATTCTTGCTACAATGTATCCATTTTGTTTCCACTTTCAATTACCAATACGGAATAGGTCAGACAGCATAGGAAACCTTAGGAAACCTTTAGAAATTGATATAAAATCAACCGTAACTCCGATTTCTTTCCTTTTGGTGTCATTCAACTCGGCTCCCTATGGACTCCATGATGCTGCCCCTACCTCCATGATCCCCTGAGCGACAGGTCACGTACTCAGGAAGACCTTAATCCTGTCAGATCGTTCTGCCATACCCTTCCTCCGGGCGATGCCAGGTGGCAGACGATGCATATCTCCGCCATTGTCTTCCCATCACCTGTACTCAGGAAACGCTTATCTGTGTTTATCTGTGCATATCTCTTACTCTGCATATTTCCCCCCTCCCTTCCTGAAATGTTAATCCATGTAATCCCACCTTCCTATAATGTATTCATGATGTAACCTGGAAAACCCAGCCTTCTTTTAATATATTCATGACGTTTTGTTGCACTGTATTCTGGGACTTGGAGGGAACTTTTAAAAGTTTATGTCGCCCCATGCTCGGGGTTCAATTCCACTTTGAACCTGTTGCGCAATAAACTTGGATCTTCGCATTTTGCTCCTGCGTCCGGCTGAGCTTCCTTTTCTTCCGCTAAGAATCCACGGACTTGGTCCGATTGGCTGGGTGGCAGGGTAAATACGCACCCAGATTTTCCGTAACAGCTTGGCGCCCAACGTGGGGCGGAGCGGTTCTCCCGGGTTGCTGACCGGGGGCCCCGAATTCTTCAGCCGGCTGCGGGCCAATTTGCCCGAGAAGACCCTTTTGGACCTCCGACCATCTCCCGGGCGGTAATCAACAGCCCCAGGAGTTCAGCCGGGGAGCAAAAGGGATCCAGCCGGCTTATTCATCGATCCCGGGATCGGATCGACGTAGAAGACGCGTGAGTATAGGAAAATCCAGTGCACTGGTGGGAAGGGGTGGAAGTCTCCTGGCAACTGAATTCTCTGCCCTCCTCTCTATCGTACCTTCTTGTCTTTCTCTTGGTCCAGTCAGTAAGAGAGATCGTGGACCGCTGCTCGACCCGAAAGGGGGGTTCTGAGCTCTATCTCTTTATCTAAACTCTCCAGCCAGCCGCACCAATTGGGAGCCCGAAGGGTAAGACGGAGAGATCCGACTTGAAAGATAGTCGACTCTCCGCAAACGGGTATCCCAGTTGAAAGCAAGGGGTTGGAGCTCTCTTTCCGATCTTCCCGAGCGTCCTTTCTAGGGGGCAGGAAGTGGTCTTGCTTTCTATACCAATCCCAGCCGCACCGGTCGGGCTACGTGCCACGTGTACCGTAAGCCCGCTTCCGAAAGCAAGGGGGATTTTCGACCCAAAATTCTGTCCAGGGATCACCCGATCTGGCACCGCACGGCGCGGGCGTTCAGTAGGGCCCCTTTTCCTGAGAAGTTTGACGATAGGTAGGAGGTTGCCAGGAGGGAATAGCCCATGAGGAATTGGGCGGGATCGGCAGAGTGGAAAAGGGACCCCAGGTAAATGGTTAAGGAAAACGGAAGGAAGGAATACCGGATAGCTAGAGCTCTTTAAAACCTCCCTAGGAAGTTGCCAAGCGACTAAAGACCTTTCTTTTACAAGTCCGTTGTCGGACAGCCCTAGACCCACAAATCCTTATCGACCCTCTCCTCTCTCCTCTTTCCTATCTAGACACGCGTGAAATATACTATGGGTACCCAGGCTTCCAAACATGAGCGGACTCACTCTGGGAGGAAGGCTTCCCGGAAGCCATCCCGTTCCCAGAGGGATCCCGACTCTCCTCTCCAATTCGTCATCGCGTGTTGGAAGTCGATTCCTGGCCACAAATTGTTATCTAAAGAAAAATTAGAAGACCTCTGCTCCGAAACCTGGCCCGCCAGTACTGCCTCCGCCAAACCCGAACTGCGGTGGCCACCGGGGGGTTCGTTTAACGAAGAACGCTTGAACCACCTAAGGAAAGCCCTGATAGAAGAAAAACCCCGCCAGTTAGAATACCTGGCCACCTTTGAGGCAGTAAGGAGAATGCTTCAAGCCCAAAGGGAACGACCTCCTACCAACTGCCTATATTAAATCCCGGGCGACAGCCAATGCCCCCCCTTACGAGGATGACGATATACGACAGACCCTGGTCCCCTTCTACTATCAAGGACCACCGCCGCGAGCCCCAACATCCAGCGACAGCAGCTCTAGTAGTGGGGAGGAAACGGGGGAGGATGAGACACAAGACACTGACAATAGGAGGGTCACACGACTACAAGCGAGAAAGGACAAGGGGGGCGCCAAACAAGTTAAAAACCCCGAACAAGCTAGGACTAAAATCCCCTCTTCTACTCTCCACAACACCATTGAGAACTCTACCCAAGTTGGGAATAAGCCCACTCCCGCGGAACCTCATGGCTCCGCTACGGGGACCCTGGGCTGCGATAAAGAAACTCGGGGACTTCTGACCAAGTAAGCTCCACCGTGACTTCTACTGCGGTCCAGATGCCCTTAAGGGCCCTGCCCATCCCTCCTCTCCAACCTGATGGGCCCCCACGGATGATTTACACGCATCAACCCTTCTATACCTCAGACCTGGTAACCTGGTCAAATCAGATGCCCTCATTAAGGGACGACCCGGACAAGTGCCACCGCCAGGTCAGCGCTATCTTCTCCACACACAATCCCACCTGGCCAGATGTACACGTCCTTCTGAATGCCCTCTTCAATGAGGCGGAGAAAAGCGGACATCTTAACCAAAGCCGGGGAAGCCATAGAACTACCCGACTACCAAAGGGGACGGCCTCAGGGATTGCAAGCGCTCACAGCACAATGTCTTAGAGTAGAACCAGAATGGGACTATAACACCACCGACGGTATTT